CACCTTGGTGGCTCTATCGCGGTCTGGAAATTGGCCAAGCGCACGACAGATCCAGAGAGCAGTGACCGCGGAATATTTTCGTATAAGGTGCGTGCGCAAGGAACTGCCAACTACATAGAGACAGCCGAGTATGCATGGTAGCTGACACGGCACGTTTGACCAGCCAACACTGACTAGTTCACGCCGAGGCCTTCCAAATCCGATGGGAGACATCGGCAGTGGAGTCACAAAAGTCTTGTCCGTTGCCACTGAAGTCCCCGCCAAAATAAGCAGCATCGCCAGGGACTTTGAACTGGATGTCGGAACACGCAAGGTATCTGTGCATCTTGGTGGCGAACCGAAACAGCTGTGGCCGCCTGATGTCGACGTAGAAAACATCCCAGACGCTGTTCTACCGTCAGATGTGAACAAAACGATCAGGGGCATAATTGACAAATTGAAAGCGGCGGCCACTTTCAACCTGGGCTCTGTGGTGGGCCTTCTAATTAGCTTGGCGGTTTGTTCTACATGCGCGGTTATTGGTCTTGGCATCATGCTCCATTTTCCTTCCAGATATTGGATTCTGCTATTCTTCGCGGCACTGATCTTGAGCGGGCTGGCTTGCGGGTCCTTCTGGTTCTTGTATCACTTTCTAAATAGGATTCTCAGTGTGGGGAGCGAGCTGCTCAACGTTGATGTAGGATCTGCCGTCGGGAATGCGTTGCTGAGCTTTCAAATATCCGTGGCGCAAGGTTTTTTATCGCTTCTTTTGTGCTTCCTCTCCATTGTACACAGACGCTTTCGCCGTCCAAGTCAGCCACACGGACTGGAAACGAAGCGTAGCAAATCATCTTTGCCATCACGAGAGATGACGGAGCATCAGGGACGGGAGCACGGTGCGGAGGCCGCGCCCAGTCGACCCAACATACGTTTTCCCGCCACCACAACGCAGTTGAGATAATTCACTCGCCTGAGTTAGACGGATGGAGAAAGAGACCCGAAAAGTCTCAAAGACGCAGGGTGTTGTGCCTGGCAGCACTGTTAGAAATGAGAAATGAAAGAGCGGCAAGTATAAAAACATCAACGTGTGATCGGCTGCGAAGGGAGAACGAGAGAAATCAGTAGGCTAAGCCTGTGTAGAACCACGAGAACTGTCTGCCTGTTGTTACCGTTAAGTGTGAACTGAAGAGTGAAAAGACGCCAAGGGGAAAGCAAAGCATAACCGAGTCGGGGAGGTATAGGAAACGGCTTTGACAACACTTCGGATAAGGAGGGAGACAATGTGGGTGCACAGCCACCAAGGAGTTAAGGTGCGTTAGAACACGGTACTTAACAACACACCATGCGAGACAAAACCCTAGGCGAGGCCTCTACAAGTTACTCACGCCCGTCGCGGTGACATGCTACGATCCTAGCAGAAGATATGCACGCAGCAGTGGTTGTCGGCACGGCGACAAGGCCAATTAGGGAGAATTCGCTAGGGATTCAGTGCACTGCTGACAAACATGTATTTAATAATATTAATAATGCAATCATATTCACCCGATCTTAGTGGTGAACCACGCAGCATATAACAGTTGAAACCAATTCCATTTTGTCTCATAGTAGTCTCTAGTTAGGTCTCAACACAGCCATCTCTCTGTGTCCATCAATCCGACGTTGATGCATGCTTACGATCTACGCCCTATACCAACATCGCGTTAGTACTCAGAACCCGCGATTTTCTGGCATCTCAAACCGGACACGGTTTCTCCCTTGGGGACCAATTCAGTACAGTCCAGTACTATAGGCTTGTTCGTGCTGGACCATAACAAGGCGTGGTGTCGGAAGGGTTGTGTCTACAAAAGCCTAGTGTAAATATAATATTAATTGACCTTTGTCTGTTCTGAGTAATTTCCTGGCCCAGTTTACGTCACAACCAGCACGCCCCTGTACGGCCTCGACCAGCGACAGCCAGTGGGTTAAATCTAGTTGCGCAATAGAAGCTATTTAGTGATCGATGCTGTTGTGGTACAATAAGTCGAATTTTTGAAGAGTGTGGGGAGAGAGGAAGCTGTTTTTGCACAAAACAATAGCTCAGTTAACAGTACAATGCATGTCGGTGCGGTTGGTACAGGCTATTGTGTGCTCGGCTTGGAGTGGTTGATATACGTAAAGCAAGCCTTGGAACATTTGTTCTCCTCCACCATTGCCTACAAAAAAAGTGAATAAAGAAGTCAACTGGAAGTTTCATGATACCACTCACAGCGTTCCCAGACTCCAAATATGAGGTCGGTGCAATTTTGGACTTATTCTGGACCAAACGAGTTGTCTGTCCACCGCACTGCGAAATAGTGAAAATCAAAAGATGATAACTAGTTACCCCGAAGGAAACTGCCATGCGGTGTGACCATCACTGTATACGGAACCGTATACTCTAGCCCCGATGTAATATATATACCAGTCCATTGTCCTGGTGGGATTTAGGTTCTGAATATCAGTCATGTTTATACCAAGAGCGATGGCAGCTTTCCACTGTGAAAGGCTTCTAGCGAGTTGATTCTACTAACTAGTCCCTAAACTGTGTACTATCAAGGTGAAGAAGAAAAAAGAAGTATATAACGCCGTAATATGATAACAGCGCCTTATATTGTGCCTCCAAAAGC